GTTATGGCTGACATTACATTCGAAAGTAGGGCCACCTGATTCTGCCATAAAATTCATATTATTAATTTACTGATTTACATACAACACTTCCGCATAACCATCCACAAAAGAACATTTACATCGATGATGTTTTGAGAATTCTAATAGTCTTGAGTCTCTTGTGATTCATCATTTCCTTGAGAAAAATCAACACTTGTATAAGTCCGAATTCCAGGACCATGTCCTCCACAATCCCATTCCCTTCCCTGTTGTGCTCGTCTTACCTCCTTTTGATGTTCAGTGAGTGTCAACCTCTTTCTTTTTGGACTAGGGCACAGTTGACCCCTGTGGTCAGTTATATTTATCATTTCCTGTATTAATTCTACCCTTTTCGAGCTCCTGTTATGTGTTGCAGTCACCTTGTATTTCTGTGAAGCTGTAGTGTCTTCTATTCCAGAATGGCATCTCTTTAACAATGGTTGGTTTCTTGTGTAGAGGTTTATTCTTCCACTTCTTGAGAGCTTGTCTAAGACGTGAAGCAAGTTTTGAGGGTAATCCAACTCCACTTGTTTACCATATGTGGAGTTCCAAAAGGAAACAGTGGGTTCTGAAATGGAATATCTTGGGTGATCAAGCGCTTTCTCAAGGAGGCATGCCTGGAGTTTGAGGAAGGCAGAATTGAAGATTATTGGTGGCCTACTCTTCTGTAAAGAATTCAAGGTTTCAGCCCATAGTCTTTGAAGTTGCTCATTGGTGGCTTGATCCTGTACTTCGATACCTGACAACCAGTGAAGCAGCGGACAGGAAATTATCTGCAGGACGATGAACTTCATTAAATAAAAGAGAGACAACAAACTTCTTGCAATNAAGGTATGGGAATAAAATGGGTTTTGAAGCAATGATACGTACGTCAAAGAAAGGAGATGATAGGGAGATGAGATACGTGACAGTGGCGTGTTCTTATTCTAGGAAGGAGAGAAGTAAATGCAGAAATACCTTGAAAAAAAACAGAATGTAAGAATCGGATTAGCGCAGCTTTGAATGGTGAATATAAAAGGGAAATTAAATCAGTTGTGCTTGAACATAGCCATGATCTTACAAGTCCAACGAAAAGAAGATATTTCAAGGTAAACCGAATGATACAACCTTCTGTGAAAAGGAGGCTTGAAGTTAATGATCAAGTTGAGATTAGACCGTGTAAAAATTTTCAGTCATGTTCAGTTGAGGCAGGAGGTGTAGAGAATTTGACGTTTCTACAAAAAGATTGAAGGAACTACATTGAAAAAGTTAGAAGTCTACGACTTGGAGTTGGAGATGCTTCGGCAGTACTAGAGTATTTTGTGAAAATGCAAAAGGAGAATTCAAATTTTTGGTACATGATTGATGTAGATGAAGAGAGTCGATTAAAGAATGTGCTATGGGTTGATGCTAGATGTAGGGCCGCATATAAAGATTTCGATGACATTGTGACCTTTGACACAACGTATCTGACGAACAAGTATGATATGCCATTTGCTGCTTCTGTGGGGGTTGATCATCATGGACATGCGACATTGTTAGGTTGTGAGCTAATTTCACATGAGGACATAGAGACATTTGTATGGCTATTTTGTTCTTGGCTTGAATGCATGAATTTTGCTCCTCATGGAATTATCACTTATCAAGATAAGGCCATACAAAATGCAATTGAGATTGTTTTCCTTTGTACAAGACATAGGTGGTGTTTGTGGCATATAATGAAGAAGCTACCTGAGAAGTTAAGAGGGTATAAGGAATATGAAACTATAAAGTTTACGATACAAAATATTGTGTATGATTCATTGACACATGAAGAGTTCGAAGAATGGTGGAACAAATTCATTGATGTGTATAACCTTCACGAGAATGAATGGTTATGTGGATTGTATAAAGAAAGAGTACGTTGGGTGCCTGCATTTCTTAAAGATACTTTCTAGGCAAATATATCTACTACCTAATATAGTGAAAGTATGCATGCATTTTTCGATAGATATGTAAATTCCAAAACAACATTGAAACAATTTGTTGAACAATATGATAATGTATTGCGAGATAAAGTGGAAAAGGAAAGGGAGGCTGATTTTAGATCTTTCAAGTCTTGGATACCATGCATAACTAATTACCCTATTGAGAAACAATTTCAAAATGCATACACAACTACAAAATTTAAAGAGTTTCAAGAAGAGATTGCGGGGAAGATTTATTGTGAATTATCTATTATGAAAAAGTCTGATTCGTATGAGGAGTATCAAGTTTTAGAAGATGTTTGGTTTGGAGTAGTAATCGGCGTGTTCCCTTTTTGATATACTTTGAAGAAAGTTCATGTGATATTCGTTGTAATTTTCATTGGTTGAGTTCAGAGGGATTTTATATAGACATGCCATTATTGTGTTGATTCATAAAAGGATTTCACACATTAGATAAGTACATTCTACGGCGTTGGAGGAAAAACATAAAAAGATGCCATATGAAAATCAAGGTAAGTTATAATAGATGGAGCACAAACGTTGAAGGACAACATTTTGAGAAGCTGTCTAATCAAATGCTGATAGTAGCCGATATGACATCAAACAATGAGGAAGACTGTAACATATTGATGGAATCAATGACTAGCATGAGAAATAAGTTGGAGCAGAAGGAAGGTGAGGGGGGGCTTGGTAGTAAAGAGGGGGACAGTCCTCCCAAAGAGGGGAATAGTCTAATTATTAGTCCATTGGTAGTTCACAGCAAAGGTCATCCTCCATGCAAAAGAAAGTAATCGAAGGTTGACAAAATTGTACGTAGAGCAAAAAATAAAAAATTGCGAAAACAAATAATTGGTATGAGTTATACACCTATTCTTACATGATATTTGTTTTTGAAACATTATTTACTTATTTGAAGTTTATAATAATATTTACTTGATTATTAATGTGTTGTGCTACTTTATAGGGAAAGAATCATCGACAGAGCAAGACAACATTACTAAAAGTTTACCGGGAACTCAAGTATTGTCAAATGATGTTGTTGCTACTCAGGTATGTGTTATGTATGTTTTATAATCGTAAAAAACCTTAAGTTTTTTATAACATGTGTTAACTGGTGGTTATTAAACATTGACAGTTGTCCACTGGTCCGGTTTAGAATCTCGCAGGAAATAATAATTTATGTACTTGGCAGGAGGATGTAAATGATGAACATGTTTCGTTGGGAGAGATTTGATATTGTTAACCAGTTAAAGCATATACATTTGTATTCAGTAGATATTATTCGCGTTGTGGTTCATTTCTGACTAATGCAGTTGAGCTGTATGCTGATTCAATTGTTTTGTTTTTATTATATTTGTTGCTGGTTGGGTAAGAGTAGGCTGTTGGTTGTAGGGTTTTGAATTCATAATAATAACGTAAATGTATCTTATTCTTATTCTGAATGTTTTCAGTATATATTATCATCACATTTCAGTATCAATAACACTACTCTTACAAAGGCAAATACAAAGAGACTTTACAAAGTGACATGGCAGGTGACGTGGCAATGCCACATCATCTGACACGTCATCACTTGCCATGTCATCGTTAAATATTTTATTATTTGAATATTTCAATCTTCTTCTCCACGCTTTCTCTTTCGCGCTCTTCTCCATCACCGTTGTTGACAATGCTCTTTACCATCTCTGTCACCCTCTTCATCTTCATCGCTCTTCTCCATCTCCATCGTTGTCTTCATCTTCGCGCTCTTCTCCATCGCCTTGTTCTCTAGAAGCTGCTGAGAGATAATCTTCATTTTCCTTCAATAAAATGTTTTGGACATTTTCTGGTTTGGAGCTAACTTATTTCTTAACTTAGAGGTTGGAACTTGGACGTTGATATGGAGAAAGATTCTTTGTTGCATTAAGGATGGTAAGTGGTCTTTAGCCCTTGGTTGAAATAGCATTTGATTTAGACCTAAGGCACTGCTGTGCCATTATTTGGAATAATGTAGGTGTGCAAGATATTCTAAAGCTTAATTTAACTCCAACGAGTGTAATACCTGAAGCGAGCCATAGAGCTGCTTCGAGGGGATAGGTGAGGTTGAGGTTCCCAAGCGGTAAAGACCATACAGGAGTTTGATGCTCACGGAAAGTCTTTAGTTCGCAGGTCTTTTTGATTTCCCACTTGCTCTGTGGGAATTGAAACCCCTGTTTGCTGTACTAGCCCCTGACCTGTGAGTGAGCCTACATTCTCTCTATTCGAGTGAGTTCCACTTCTTATATGCCATCTCTCCTCTCCAGCTTCTGATTGAGAGATTCGAGGAGGGAAAAGGAAACCTAGGAGAAAACAAAAAGAAGAGGTTGCTTCGCTTCCTAGGAACAATCCTCAAAAGCTTTCTGTAATTCCTATGAACAAAGGGGTTTTTTAATTACACCAGCTAGGTAAGAAAAAAAAAAGAGAAAGAGTTCAAATCCCACAAATTAGGCCGAGAAAGAGACTTTTGTAGTGGAATTTCAATCAGAATAGTTGGGGAAGCCATTGTGTTTATGTAGTTAATTTCTAGTTTTCTTTTGCAAAGTCAATGTATGAGTTTAGCTATTCGTCGGAGGACTTTTTGTATCAGATTTGTGCAAGTTAGATCGAATGTTTTTTAAGTATGTTGTATGTCTTTTATTTCACAAGAAGAATTGATTCACTTGGATCAAAATCATTCTTAACTTTTCGAATATCTTGTTGGTGAAATGGTATCTGATAACATTAAAATTGGTGAATTGATCTCCATTGGTAGTTATATTTTGGACAAGTTACATGATCCAATCTTAATTAGGACAAAATAATAAAAGTTGTTTAAAGTGGTGGCATTGGGTAGAATGTTTTAGAAACTAAAATTGCTTTTGCTCTAGGAATTGAGTTGAATGTGGTTTTGCTCTAGAAGATCAATGAAGTACTAATATTATTATTTTTTAATTGAATTAATGAATCATATTTATAACATAGAGTTTTTGTTTTTTTGTATTTTATTTAGGGTAATCTGTTAACATCATAGTACCAAAGATGGAAGAATGCAGTAAAACTAAATCAGAGAACTCTTCTTCTCAATTCAATGCCGTTGAGGTAATTTTCTTTGTAATCTCTTTTTATTGATTAATATAATAATTTTTTTATGGTATTATTTCTACCTTTTTGTTAAGTATTATTATATTCTAATTCTGGCTATTATAATATCTAATTAGGAAGAAATAGAAGATGCAAGAAATGTAGAAGAGGAATTGGAGCTTAAGCCTGGAATGAATTTTGATTCATTTGATAGACTTTTCCAATACTATAGAAGCTATGGGAATAAAATGGGTTTTGAAGCTATTATAAGATCTTCAAACAAAGGAGATGATGGAAAGTTGAAATACGTAACACTTTCTTGTGCTTGTAGTGGGAAGTCGACATGTATCTCTAGAAATGCCTTTAAAATGCATCCGGTGACGAAAACTGATTGTAAGGCCCGGATTGGTGCAGCTTTACGTTCTGATGGAAGTTGGCAAATATGTTCAGTTGTCCTTGATCATAACCATGAACTCAGCAGTCCTAGCAAAACTAGATTTTTCAAGGCCAATCGAATAATAAAACCATACGTCAAAAGGAAACTCGAAGTAAACGATAGGGCTGGAATCAGACCCAATAAAAATTTCAATTCCTTTGTAGTAGAAGCTGGTGGTCCTGAGAATTTTCCTTTTCTACAGAAAGATTGTAGAAACTACATTGAAAAAGTTAGGAGGCTACGACTTGGTGTTGGAGATGCTTCTGCAATTCAAAAATATTTTTTGAAAATGCAAAATGAAAATTCAAATTTCTTCTACATAATGGATTTAGATGAAGAGGGTCGATTAAAGAATGTTCTATGGGTGGATGCAAGAAGTGGGGCTGCATTTAAAGAATTCGGTGACGTTGTGACATTCGACACTACATATTTGACCAATAAGTATGATATGCCGTTTGCAGCTTTTGTTGGTGTTGATCATCAGGGACATTCAACATTGTTTGGTTGTGGGTTAATCTCTAACGAGGACACAAAGACATTTGTATGGCTTTTTCAATCTTGGCTTGCAAGTATGATGAATTGTGCTCCAAAGGCAATAATCATTGATCAAGATAAGGCAATGCAAAATGCGATTGAGATTGTGTTCCTGGGTACACGACATAGATAATGTTTGTGGCATATAATGAAGAAATTGCCTGAAAAGTTAAAAGGTTATACCCAATATGATTCTATTAAGTTTTCTTTAGAAAATGTAGTGTATGATTCATTGACACATGAGGAGTTTGAAGAACGCTGGAATAGGTTCATTGAAGAACACAACCTTCAAGCCAATGAATGGTTACTTGGATTGTATAATGAAAGACGACGTTGGGTGCCAACATTTGTAAAAGATACTTTCTGGGCAAGTATGTCTACCACTCAACGTAGTGAAAATATGCATGCATTCTTTGATGGATATGTCAATTCAAAAACCACCTTAAAACAGTTTGTGGAACAGTATGAGAATGCATTGCATGATAAAGTGGAGAAAGAAACGGAGGCTAATTTTATATCTTTCAAATCATGGATCCCTTGCATAAGCAGTTATGGTATTGAGAAACAATTTCAAGATGCATTTACCATTGCGAAATTCAAAGAGTTTCAACAAGAGATTACCGCTAAGCTCTATTGTGAAATATCTTCTTTCAAAGAGAATGGTTCCTATATGGAGTTTATAATAAAAGAAGATGTTAGGTTTGGATGGACTCATCGTCGTGTCCCTTTTGTGGTATGTTTTAATGAAGCAACTTGTGATGTTCATTGCAATTGTCAGTTGTTTGAGTTTAAAAGAATCTTATGTCGACATGCAATTGTGGTGTTAATTCCCAAGGAAATTTCTCATGTACCAGAAAAGTACATTTTAAGGCGATGGAGGGAAAATATAAACAGATGTCACACCAGGGTTAAAATAAGTTATAATAATTTGAGCATCAATCTTGAAGGACAACGATTTGATCACTTGTCTAATTTATTTTCTACTGTAGCAGACTTAGCATCAAACAATGAGGATGATTGTAATATGGTGATAGAAGTGATCAATGATCTTAAGAAAAAATTGATGTCGAATGAAGGTGTTGGCAGGAATGGTAAAAGAGAAAACTTGTCAGCTAACAGTAGAATGAATTGTGAAAGTGTTGATGGTACTTCCAAAGAAGGGAATTGTAATATTCTAAGTCCACGAGTTGTTCGTAGCAAAGGTCGTCCTCCATTAAAAAGAAAGCAGTCAAAGGTTGAACAAATTCTTTGTAAAATAAAAAAGAAGAAATTGCGAAAACAAGAAAAGGATAAAAAAGTTGAAGGTAAAAATTTAGTAATTATCAATTTTGTTGATTATTTTCTTATTTTTATTCTATTTATTGATAGATAACATGGCTTTTGTTATATAATTGCAGCATTGTTGGATATCGAAGCATATGGGATTTCAATACGTGATTAGTGTCCTTTGATATCTGTTTTTGCTGCAGCTTGAATACTGCACTTTTTTTGTTGTATGTGCAGTGTTTTGTAGAGAAGTTTGGTTTTGGGAGAATTTGATGGATTTATAGCTTGTAAGCTGCATTTTTTTTTTTCTATTGTGTTTGTGTGTTGTTGTCAAGCTCGGGCCTATTATATGTGGTTATAGTTAGCTCAGTTCTGTACAAGTTTTTAGGGGAGGTTTTGGGACTGTTGCAACGTAGTATCAGTTATAGCATACTGAAGAGGTCTGGCGATGCAACACCTTTGTGTTTTTGTTTGTGTGACTGTAGGGATATTTGGTACTAGTGATGAGGCTCTTTTAGGAGAGTATTGCAGCTTGGTTGCTACATTTTCTATAGTGTTTTGCAGGTCTTTATGGTGTGATCATTGCCACTTATCATAGTGGTGGTCTTGCTAGTTGTGTGAGAGGGATTAGTAAAGAATGAATAATATTCACAAGTAGTCAGATTAATTATTTATTGACTATCAGAATAGTTAGCATTAATTGGATGACTCACATGAATAATTTCCCACACCAGTTACATATATCAGTTTAAGGCGCTTCTTCTGGAACTGCATATTAGCATTTCCTTTGGTCCTAAACTTGCATGTCATGGCTGACGATTTCATTCCTCTTCTTTCTAACAAGATTAGGATTCTTTTGCATTACTATTCCTCTTCTTTCTAACAAAATCTTTTTCTTTCAGGGTGCATCAAAGTTTAAGAGTTTTACTGAATCATTGCATGTACATTTGATAGAATGTAGTCCAACATTACAGAAGCTTCAGCATCAGAACTTGAAGTGCATGGATGAGGATAGTACCAGTGAAAATGTTGAAAAGAGGACTGTTAGCGCATTGGCAGGAACACCTATATCATGTCATGTTGCGCTAGAGTAGGTTCCATCAGGAAGTATGTTGCTATCTTTTAATCTTTTTCCCCATGAAAGCAAGCCGAAAGCACTTTAATGTTGGACTTAACTGCCCCATATGATAAATAAAACCAATTAATAATCCCAGATACAACATGCAAATGTTTTGAAATCATCACATTATGGGTATAGGTAAATAGTTGTGTTGAAAAAAAAGAAAAAAGAAAATAGCTATATTTGTGTACCTTTCTTGTTTCATGAGGAGTATAAACCTCATCATTGTTCTGCTGAAAACTTGTAAGATAAGATTATTTACTTTAGTGTCAATCTTGATCCGTTATACAACTTGCAAATATAAAGTCCTGTTCCTTTTTTTTGTTTTTTTTTTTTTTTCACTTATCAATTTTCTTCCTAATAACCCAATATTGCAGGCAATTCGAAAACATAAATTTGACAACATATTTGATAATCCTGGGACTGCCGATCTCAGTGCATATGTTGATTTTGCTTCTGTCAAGCATTCTGTTGAGGAAGCCTCAGGTGCAGAACCTTGTCATTTGGGTTTGTCAAATTCTTAATTTTATTCTTACTTATTGAAGTACTTAAAACATGAAAGCGAGTAATGAAGATAAATTATCATTGTTTTCCAACATGTTTTCAGAGAATGTGTCTGTCCAAGGTCCGATTACTCAGTCCCAGTTTCTTGGTTCTCTTGGAATAAATTTCCGAGTGGAAGCACTACTATAGAACTGCACAGAGGAGCAAGTTAAGTCTCCAAGGACAGGATATTAGCGTCTTGTGGGTGATGGTGAAGCTCCCTTCTGGGAAGGACCTGATGACCAAACACCTATTGGAATAGGTATCCGATATTTGGCAATGGCCATTGTCAACAAAAAGCAAGGTGTTCCAGTTTCATTTCAATGAGGTTTGAATTACCATGACAGTTTTGTAAAGCTAGCTACTTAGGCTTTTGTACATTAGTAATTTATGTTTCTATCAAATAAGTTTACGAAGTTTGTATTTCTTATGAATATGTTACCAAACATTCCTGCAATAATTGAATTGAAGATCTGATTTCGTCTTCTGGGTTACCTTTTAATCATTTACCTTCATGATGTGCTTTTTGGTATTCGCTAAATCATATAATTACAAAAAGATAATCACCATTACATGTGAATCTTAAATCATTCTATTGCTTAAACATTCACATCTAATGATAATTACAAATCCAGTTACGTTGGGGCATCAATAATATAACCCAATCTTGTCATTCAACAAGGATATTAAGAGTCAGCTATTCAACAGAGCAATATATTCATCTCATATATATGAGCTGTTCCATAAAACAAAAATCTAAAATGGAGCATGAAAAGCTAAATATATATCCGAGAAACCAATAAAATTCCAAACTAAGAACACTAAATATGAAGAATGCACTAAAGTATTACCTTTGTAACTGTATTTCATAAGAGGAGCAAAGATAATATGACATGCATAATCATTTGCTTCTACCAATAGAACTCTAAGAACCATCCTCGGCAGAAATCTTTCCCACCTAACCACCTCAGATGAGCCATCCTTCTTAGTCTCATTCTTCTTTGTCTCCAACTCCATTTCCATTGCTTCTTCACTGCTCAAAACCACTTCACCCATTCTCATAGCAGCCAATCAGGAACAGCCAACAACAACCAAAACACTACACCAAGTATGAACAGCCGCAACAACAACCAAAACAAGCAATAACCCAGAAAATTGGACCAACGACTTGGTGGAAAATGTTGGAAAAATCTTATTTCAATACCAATTAATAGACCACATTCAAGTTCAACCAATACAATTACCGTTGCAGAAACCACATAATTAAGCCATCTAATGTAAACTGACATTTCTTTTAATCAAAGTAGATGTAGCTAAATTACAAAAGACCTGAAAAAAATGAAACATAAAGACCAAAAAACAATGCAATAAATGAGCTAATGTTTCATACTCATAGCAAGGCCCAAAATCCAAATTACATATCTGCATTTTGACTTCTCTATGTAGGCACATAGTGAAATTCACTTTTTAACTTTAACAATCACGTTGAGATACAACATATCTCACCAAACAGCTAGAATACAACTTAAAGTAACTAATCTTGTACCTAAAGGTCTTCCAGGAATCTGTAATGAACCAAAACTGCAGAATCATGACAGAAAATGGAGACCCTTTCTTGGTTACACACCACTTTACTTGAATGCTCCTCAACTTTCCAATGGGACCTTATAACACAACTAGTAAACATAGAACCAGAGGCATAAATCCACTTATTGATCAAATAGTCATGGTAAATGATTCAAGTCATTGAGAGGTAAATAACATCATATTTCCCAATGCAGAAATCATTTTCAGACCACAGTAATAGACTAGAATATCTTGCACAACTACATTATTTCAAATAATGGCAAAGCACTGCCTTAGGTCTAAATCAAATGCTATTTCAACCAAGGGCAAAAGACCACTTACCGTCCTCAATGCAACAAAGAATCTTTCTCCATATCAACGTCCAAGTTCCAACCTCTGAGTTAAGAAATAAGTTAGCTTCACACCAGAAAATGTCCAAAACATTTTATTGAAGGAAAATGAAGATTACCTCTCAGCAGCTTCTAGAGAACAAGGCGATAGAGAAGAGCGCGAAGATGAAGATAGCGATGGAGATGGAGAAGAGCATGAAGATGAAGACAACGATGGAGATGGAGAAGAGTGATGAAGATGAAGAAAGGAGATGGAGAAGAGCGCGAAGATGAAGAGAGCAATGGAGATGGAGAAGAGCAGTTAGCAAAGCAGTGCCAAAAACGGTGATGGAGAAGAGCGCGAAAGAGAAAGTGTGGAGAAGAAGATTGAAATATTTGATAAAATATTTTATGATGACGTGGCAATTGATGACGTGTCAGATTATGTGGCAATTGATGATGTGTCAGATTATGTGGCATTGCCACGTCACTTTGTAAAGTCTTCTTTGTAAGAGTAGTGTTATTGTTTCAGTATATATTATTTTACATTTCATTTGAGATTTTAATTTTGATATGTCTTTTGGTATGTTTAGGATTACATATACATGAGCATTCAGATATGTATTGAACAATAATTAATGATATGATACTGTGGCAAATATAATCTTTGTACATAACATTCATACTGAGAATTAACATTCATATGATATTGGAGAAGTTCAGCTAATTGAGAACATCTTGTGAAATCAAACTTTATTAATTAACATATTTGCGTACATACAGTTTAGTATTTGAACTACACATAATGACAATTAACATTCATAGTGTGTTCCCTAAGGATGATGAGAAGGTGGAGGTTATTGAAAAGTTCTTCATCATAGTATAGGGGGTGGAGGCTGACTGGAGGAGGAGGAGGCTGGTGACAATTTCTTCATCATGTTGGATATTTATATCATGCGTTCCCCAAGGATGTCAACCGTTTCTTCTATTCTTGATGCGAACGAGTTGAAATCACTTTGCACTAATGATGTTGTTCCTGCATTTTCCTCTCAAAACGTGAAAAACTCTCCTCTTGAAACCTTTCGATCTGATCAAATCTGCTTACTATTTCATCTAAGGTATGAGAAGACATTTCTTTTACATTCTGAGAAGATCAAGGTTCAATACTCGTTCTTCTTCTTTTGTGCACATAGACTCGTCCTTCATTTTCCCATTCTAGAACAGGGACACCTTCCTGAACCGTTGCCTCTTCCTCCATTTCATCTCTAATTAGAAACCATTCTCCTGATACATTCTTTTTAATCAAACCCATTTTACACAATGTGACATTCCCCAACAAATTATTTGCAGAAAATGTTATCTTATTGACTTCATCTGAAAGGGTGATCTCTAAACCCAACTTCTCACATATTAGCGTAACAAGCATCTCCCAATAAATTTCTCCTTTTTCTACTTTAATCTCTCCCAACTTTTTAATCAATAACTTTGCTGAATTTACTTGCTTCCCTGTTATTGCTGCTTCCATCAACAATAAATCCTTGACTGTCACAATTCCATTTGTCTCTTTCCTACCATTAAATGTGAAAGTCAAAAATCTGTGAAAAACTCTCATGGCAGGATTATTTAACTTTGTAGATTTACACCTATATGGATGATAAACCCCTATTCCAAAAACATCCGTCCAAACATGTTTGGAATCCCACGTTCTGGATACGTTATCCAAACCTTCAAAATCAATCCCTATCCAGATTGCTAAGTCATGTGGCCTCACTACACAATTCTGATTCTTTAATCTAAAAAACATTGTATATGCCGGAAAATCATCAATACCTGTCTCCAAAACTTCCAAACTACTAAAAAACTCATAAATCAAATGCTTATATCTGTCATATCTAATACTCACCAACTGGTCCCACTTCAAATTACGGATCCAACCATTAATCTCATCACCTAAACCTAAACTTGTTATAAATCCTAAATCCAAACTTCTTTCAAGACAAATATCTCTTTTCGCCATCCCTTTGTATTGCTTTTTATGTTGCATGGACTCCAGATGACGATGTGCCTCCATGAGGAATGGTTGTGTTTTTTGCTCTTACCATTTTCTGCTTTCTTCTAAAACCAGCAACTTCCTGGAAAAAACATATTCATAAGTAATTCTGCAGATATTAAAAAAAAAACAAGTATAATGAAAAATCATGTTTGAAGTTTATATTTGTTTGCTTGTTCAGAGTCTACAATTTCAAGTGTTTGTGCTGTGTCTTTCAATATAATTACAACAGACACAAACAATTTCATGTTATTGAAGCTCTGAGTTTTATGCTATTGAAACAGACATGATTTCTGTTTCTTTTCATGATAAGATGTAATGGCTTTGTTTCAGGAAGGGGAGTTCAGGTGGTTAAATTCCATGGAAGACTATTGAGTAAGCCATCGGGAATTCAAGCAATGTTGAACACTACAAAAGTGTTATAGACACTACAAGAATTCCCTCCGCTATATCATATTAAATAACTTTTGACATGCACAAATAGACATTCTCTAGAAGAATTCCCTCCACTGTATCATATTAAAACAATTCACATGCGCAGATAGGGACATTCCCCAATTGCACATGCGTTTCTGCTAAGCTTTATCAATAAGTTTACTTTGTTCTTATGCTATCAAGATCAATGTGAAATTAAACTCTGAATATAATGTAGAAGCCATGCAATTTCGAAAATATAGGCAATCTCCTGCGACTTGCACTTTGCCACCACTTCAAAGCCTTTTGTTTTATGTCATTAGGGTCAGGAGGAGACACATAATTTGTTAAAAGGACTGAACCACAGTTAGTGGATTTTATAACAAAAATTCAAAAATAGCTAAGGAAACCTAGAAAAGGCTAAACTGAAACAACAGAAAAGCTTGGCTAATCATAGCTTTTTTACATCCTTTTAACACTATAATCATAATGGCTAAATAAAAAGGGAATGTTAGTATAAGCCAGTTAAAGAAACTGTCTGAACCATACAAAAACCAACCACTAAAGCACCCATGTATGATTGTAAACCAACCACCTGCGACTTCCTTTGTATGATTGTAAAGTATTCTGCATTTCAGGATGCAATGATTAAGGTTGGTAAACTGTCTGAACCATACAAAAACCAGCCACTAAAGCACCCACTAAAGCACCAATTTTATGTGAAACAATAGAATACTGAGACAAATACCCAAGAATGCATCAACATAAGTAACTGGCACCTTACGGATTGCCAAGTTTTCAGGTGATAGGCTCAATAAAATACCATAGTAAACACAATGTCAAAACATTTTATTCTCACAGAAACCTCCAACATAATTGGATTGTATGAAAACTATCATCTAAACATAGTATTGTCCAAGCCTCATCTAAACATTAGGGGAAAGAGAACAAGCACCATCCACAAAGTTACTCTAATTAGAGCCCCATCCCATGATAGAGCGATTGTTTAGATCACTATACACATTCTATTATCATTATAGAACAATTGTTTAATTCTTCCTCATTGAATCAGAAATGAAGTAAAAAATTCTCAAATCATCCTAAACAAAAAAATACTCACAACCGGAGTCCAGAAGATGACGATGAAGAAGTGAATAACGGCGGCAGATAATGTGGCTTCAACGGCGGCAAATAGTGTGGCTTCAATGGCGGCACTGTTCGGCGTTTCTTCTTCAAGTTTTGAAATCCCTAAACAAAATGGAAACTTTTTGAAATTTTAAAATTTTTAACATAATATGGACGGCAGTCCATCTCATGTGGACGGCCGTCCATATAAAATGGACAGCCATCCACACTAGATGGACTGGAGTCCATCTAATTTTTTGTTTTTATTTTTAAAAAAAAAAAAAAAATTGGATTGCTTATGGACGCCAACGGCTGTCCACAATAGATGGACTGGCGTCCATCTAATGTTTTGTTTTTATTTTTTTATAAAAAATATTTTAACACTACATGGACGCCAGTCCATCTATTGTGGACATCCGTCCCTTTTATAAGGATGGACATCCATACTAGATGGACTATCGTCCATCTAATGTTTTGTTTTAATTTAATTTTTTTTTTTAAAAAAAAAATTTAACACTAAATGGACGGCAATCCATCTATTGTGGACGGTCGTCCCTTTTATAGGGACAGCCGTCCATCTAATATTTTGTTTTTTTGTTTTTTGTTTTTTGTTTTTTTTTTTTAAATTTAACACTAAATGGACGCCAGTCCATCTATTGTGGACGGTCGTCCACATTAGATAGAAAGGCGTCCATCTAGTGTGCTTATTTGGACGGTCGTTTATATTAAAGGGATGTTCGTCCCTAGTATTTGGACAGTAGTCCATTGATTTTTAGTTTATTTTTAAATATTTGTTATGGACCGTCGTTTATTCCTGAATGAATGGCCGTCCATACTCCGAAAATGTTGGACGGCTATCCATTTACGAAAGTTTTCTATTGTGTCCTACGTGGCGACGTCCAAATCAAGGACCACGTATTTCGGTGCAAATTTTTAGTACCCATTTCCGGTGTCTGTAGCATCACTGTCATTTTTTATGGTCCTTACACATGTCACTATCAAGCATCGATTGCACACAAAATGTATGCATCCGTCAGTTCCTGTAACAAGATCTTTTCGAATGAAAGATAAGGTCCATGATCAAAATACAAACCAGCCTCATATCCTTTAAACTTGTGCTTCTGGTTGGTTACTTCGCATGCACTGAGTCACCATAGTAACAACCTAAAATATTTTCTTCATAGAACTCAAAAATAAGATTCTCCACAAATGGGTTGTAAGATAAACTGCTCAAATCCTCCAATTCTATGCCAATTCACCTCAAGAAAACCAAGTTATAGAATCAACACACTTGCTTTCTCTTCTTACAATCCTAGCCAAGAACAACCCATTTCCGCTACCACCACAACTACTCAAACTCAGTTGCCGAAAACTGATGTTTATACCATTAACTTCAAGACTCTTGGAGCTTGCAACCTTGGCATTTCCAGATATCCCGACTTTGAATATGACGCACAAGGTGGAACTGGAACTGGCACTGGTACAAAAAATATCAAAGATGGTGATTTCAACCAGGAAATTTCAGTTTCTTTCGACCTGAAAACTCTTTATATTCCTCCACTTACAAGTGGAACAACTAAGTTCTTGGGATTGCCTTTGCCACCATTTCTAAAGATTGATATTGTCCCTGAACTCTTTCATGGAAGCATCAACCAAGAATCTGGCCAGGTAAAATAGTGGATATAAATAAATAATGAACTTCTATCCTTTTTATAATCTTCAAGAATGAGGTTCAGAATTTCTATCCATTATATTTATTTTGTAATTTGTAGGTTGATCTTGAATTCACGGCCAAATTCTGGTTTTCTGTGGGAAGTATTTATAGAGCGCCTCCGTTGCTGGTGAAGACGGTGCTTACATCAGAGGAGTCAAAGGGAAAAATCAGAAGTGGAAGAGGGGAGAGGTTGGATAAAGAAGGGAAGTGTAGATTGGTTGGGGTGGCAACCGTGGAGCCTATTGATGATTTCTTCATGGATACTTTCCTTAGCCTTCCAACTGAGTGCCTTGCCAACCTCAATGCTCTCATTACCCTTTCTTAAAACGTTTCAAAATGTAAAATCATGCAGATTCTACATTTATTTCCTCATAATCACAGTGAAAATATATGTAGACACAATCAGAAAAGCATTAAACAATGCTTCAATTCCGTTTGTTAAAGATTTTAAAATCCAACCTTCTGCAGTATAATTCTGTGGTTATGCTTCCGCGATTGGCATTTAACTGACACAGATACCGGGGAAAGGGCCACGGCCACATATGAAAGAGTACTGCTCATAACTTTTTCTCATAATTTCCGACATGATAGTTCGTAATTAGTTAGTTAGCAAATGAGTATACATAACCCATAGCAAGCAGATCAGGCTTTACAAGCTGACCAATTACGAGTTACCATATCAGAGATTATAAAAGAAGGTTGTACGATCCTTATAAAATTATTGCAGTTTATCACAGCAACTATAAGCTTTATAATTGTGTAAAATATTCAAAAATGTTTTTGTTTACAACAAAATCTGCCGTTAAATTGAGTAATAAGTTATCATTTAACACCCCCACCTAAAATACATAGGAAAAGAAATGTATATGTAGCTTTTGCCTGCTTGGAATTTCCAAACTCTCCTTATAGTCTCCTGGCCCTTTTTCATTTCCCCAATGGCATAATTGAATCGCTTTGCAAGAATGAAAGAGTATTCAAGATGGAAAGGAAAGATGACCAATGCCATAATTTATAGAGAAGCAACATGAAATATCACTTCTAGAACTCACATTAGTTGTTGCATTTGTCAGTCAGCTATATCTGGCAAATGCTCTGCTTTCTTTTCTTATAGCAAATTCATTATCACTCAAATGCCAGCCGTTGAGTGTCAACTAAAGAAGCATATTGACCCTTCTTAGCCAGCAATTCGAAATGAGTTCCCAGCTCTGCAACCCTACCATCAGAAAAAAGTGCAATTTGGTGCGCATTCTGAACTGTGCTTAATCTATGAGCAATCACTATTGTTGTCCTGCCCTTCATAAGATGGTTCAGAGCATCCTGGACCAGGCGTTCACTAACTGCATCCAGTGCACTGGTAGCCTGTAGCAGAGAACAGCATTTGTTTGGACATGCTAAAATAACTAAACAAGGAATGGGCCTAATACTGTCACTGTGCCATGTGTCACGATTAAGAAAGCTTTCATAAAAAAAAAAAAATAATACTACTAAGCACGAACCAAACAAGAAATGAAACTTCACCTCATCAAGAATCAGTATTGGGGCATTCTTCAGTAGAGCTCTAGCAATAGCAATTCTCTGAAGATCAAAGCAAAAGAGTAAATCACTGCTTTCTTTCTCAAAACATCTCTCTCTCTCTCTCTCTCTCTCTCTCTCTCTCTCTCTCTCAAAGCATCATTACATTACCTGTCTCTGGCCTCCACTCAAAAGACCTCCACGCTCACCAACTAGTGTGTCATAGCCCTTTAATCCATAAAAGAAGAAACGCATCAGAAACAAACATAAGCATTAGCAGATATATACCGAATTCAGATTTGGAAGACTGACATGAGGAAGAGAAATTATAAACTCATGAGCATTTGCTGCTTTGGCTGCTTTTATAATATCATCCTTGGATACATTATCATCTGGAAGCCCATATGCAATATTTTCACCAACAGACACGGAAAAAAGGACAGGTTCCTGTATCATTAATAATTCAACTTTGAGAAACACAGCACTATAAATATCAAATGAATGAAAAACAAAGCCTCAGCCAAAAAGACTACTAAGCATCAGATCCCAACAAACTATGCATTCTAGAGAATAATCAGTAAACAGATTTTATAGAAAAATACTACTATGCCAAGATAAAGAAATCCTCCCTAAGTTCCTGAATGAACCTGAACCTGATTTCGCTGTGCTGTGCTGTGTCACAAAGATAGATTTACACGAATGCTTCTGCATTAGAACTAATTAACACAAACATCCAGCATAAACACGTATTCGATGTGAACTAATCTAGTTGTGGGTATCTCATTAATGACTGATGAAGTATAAGCCAATATTAACTGAAAGCATAAGAAAAAAACCCTCGCACAAAATTGATACAGAAATAGCAGCCAAGGGGTTAGACATTACTTGATTTACTATGGAGACAACATGAGCCCATTCACTCTTGTCAAAAGTCCGGACATCCTCTTCACTAACTGTTATACGTCCTCTTGTTGGCTGCAACAATGAGAAATCAGCTAGAGCACAAAATCTCACATTCTATGACGAGCAAAACAGAACTTACATTACAAAATCAGAAATTAAAGTTTACTAAAACCTCATAGAAACGTGCCAACAGCTGTACTATTGTACTTTTGCCCGCACCACTTGGGCCAACTAGAGCTGTCACAGTTCCACATTTTAGTGTCAAATTAAGACCACTTAGAATTTCAACATCAGGTCTCAACGGATAAGAAAAGTGCACATCTGCATGACAAAACAAGTATTTCAGTTGGCACAGTACAATAAATTGCATATCAAAACAAGAAAGCAATCATTCTAAAACCTTTGTCCCATAATTACACTAAACATTTGTCTGATTAATAGATGCTATTTCCCAAACGGAAGGAAGGTGAAAGGGAAAGAGAAAGGAAACTTGTACTCTGAAAACAAATTGAAGGTAACAACTAAATAGCTTGTAATCAATTGAACTTCCAAAGTCAAGCTTCTGTACTAATGCTAGCTTATTTAAATTTTATTCAAAAGTTGTGATTAGCAGGAAGTTGGTTGAAATCAATAAGTTCCAATCTTAAAGTTTTAATTCTGTTTACTTGTATAAACTACCTCATTCAAATTTTAACAAATACTACATGTTATCTCACAAGAGTTAAGTAACTCATATTGGAGGATAGTGAGAATACATCAGTCCATGTAATAACCAAATCACAATACAGGAATGTGAAATAAAAATATCAACATGCATCAACTAAATCAAGCAGTGATATTTGCATCCGATAAATTATGCAAAACTTCATCAAAGATACCTTCAAGGCAAACATCACCAGACCAAGCAACAGTACACACATTGCTTGCTGATTTTAAAGCTGACATGTAATCCATATTTGAATATTGATTTTTTCCAATTGAGTCATTGGATAAGAACAATTTAATATTTTCATCCTTCACTTCTTTTTGCTGGATTTCTCTATCCAGTCCATAAGCAAGTGCTTCATCAACTTCTGTTCCAGATAAAACAGAATTAATCCTCTCAACAGCAGCAAAAGTTCCACGTAAATCTCCAAATGTATTAACCAGTCCTTGGACCTGACAGATGCATTAGATCAGGTAACATAGATTGACAAGCAAAAGCATAAGGATATGCAGACAGAACTTACCGCAAAGGTTAGTGTGAAAGTGTATCCAATAAAAGAAGCCACAGTTCCAACAGAGAGTTCCCCCTGCAAGACTCGGAACATTCAAGACAAAGGGAGAGAAATAAAATGTATGAGCAGACCACAAGATACAAGGTTAAAATTCTAACTTGGCTTGTGACTTTCATTTTGCTAGTTTACGTATTTCCCCTTTAGTACTTGAAAGATTGAGTGTTTGATCAGTATTATATATGTAGCTGTGTAATTTTGCTGTTAGGGAAATGGATTTAAAGTGGCTTCAGTAGTGGTCATATGGAAGCTATGAGAATTACAAAACTAAATCAGTAAGATATAAAGAAACTGTGTAGGGTTGAAAAAACAATCAAGAAAATTCATTAGACAAGGGACCATGGCATCTTCTCATATAGAGAACCATAATCCTAAAATTTATTGAATTTGTGAAAAATAAGCAAGTGCAGATGCTGAGGTAGAGAGAAGTATCTTTGTATTCTTTCTAATTGATTTCTATGCAAATAGAAACGATGCAATACTCTATTTTTTTTTTTTTTTTATATACCTAAAACAGTGAGAGTACACTTAAAGTTGGATCATAAATAATGTAACAATTAATTTGGTAAGTTATATCACTTATTACATCATTCTATTACTCAAATTGTGCTACTAAATTAGCTATTACATTCACTTGGATACAAAATGCAATTGTAGTATTATTGATACCTAAAAATCCCTTAGCCTCACATGCATATGCACGTAGGAGGCCCCAAGAGGATTTGATGCAATACGCCCACTTAAACTAAGCACTAAGTGAACCCTAATATAAATAATGGATATTATTCAAAGTCCGATGCATTAACCTATTTCATACTATCAGTATTAAAAACTTAGAATAAGAATGTAAGGCAGGGAAAAGCAGACTGATTTCAGATTAAAATTAACCAACTGAAATGGATGGAAGAAAATGATTCACAAGCTAGAAGTGCTCACCGCCTTCACTTTGCTTCCTCCAAGGGAATATAAAGCCAACAGAGAAATATATATGGCTACTCTAGTCAAAGATTCATTCAAAGATTTGAAAGTCCCAAGCTTTATGCCACTATTCCGATAAGCAAGAACCTGCCAAATCCATTAAATAAAGGCAAATTGTATTGAAGAAGTTATGATATCTCCATAATTATAGCTATGTAAATGAAGAATTTTAGTATAGATATTGTTTAAAAAGAAAAGAAAAAATCCAAAATACAACAACTTACCTGGCTACCGAACATTAACATTTGTCGCTTTTCACCACCAAACGATCTTACCTATAATTTAATAAATTATCAGCTCTGTATCCAAGCCTTCATTACAGCCCAACTAAAAAAGCCAGACGATGGTGGTCTATATAATTAACACCTGGACCTTGTAACTTATAACAAATCCTTAATAAGAAATCTACAATTACAAATACATATATATGGTAAAGAGCAAGAGTTTAAAGTACTTACAGTCCGAATAGCAGAGAAAGTTTCTGCCACACAATCAGACATAGATGCCTGAGCCATTCCATGAGCTTTAAAAATAGGCACAGTTGATCGTTTGTATACAGCTTGAGATTATTACAATAGTTAGCAGAGATAATAAAACATGAAATAGACAAAGTTATGGTATGAATGTTCCAAATTAGAGTAATATGATCATGAAGTAACTACTACTAGACAAAAGTTGAGTTTTCTGTTGGAAGAAACAGGCTGTATGCAAGATTACATCTTATTTTTTGCAAACAATGCCTAAGAGAAAAAATGATTACAGAAGAGATATCCTAAGTGTTGCCACAATCCCATAAAAAAAGTGATGGTTCTGGGACAGTGGACACTGT